AGAAAACACAGAGAACTCACTGCCATGTCATTTTGGGGGTCTCAGGATCCCTAGCCAATCTGCCCTCCTCACGCCACCTTTCAGAATCTTCCTATGTTGTTTTTTTTTTTAAGATTTTATTTACCTATCTGAGAGAGAGAGAGAGTGAGCAAGAGAGAGAGCACAAGGCAGGGGGAGTGGCAGAGGGAGAAGCAGACTCCCCACTGAGCAGGGAGCCTGATGCAGGACTCGATCCCAGGATCCTGAGATCATGACCTGAGCCGAAGGCAGGTGCTTAACTGACTAATCCACCCAGGCGCCCCTCTTCCTATGTTTTATATATAATGTCCACACTTTTTAGTTGTTATTTAGCAGAAAGAATAGGTAAACTAATATCTACTCCATCTCCAGAAGAGGAAGTCTCCATAATTATGATTTTGAAGATTTCATGTGGTTTCATGCATTTGTGCTGGTTTTATTTGTATATATTGAATGGCCCTAAAGATTTATGCAAAGGTTTATGTACTTTTTATTGTATATTTTATTATTAAAAATGGACCCCTTTGTTAATCTATTGAGCACTTTGGACTTAATTTCCACTCAAAAATTTATTTCTAGATATGCCTTCATTTTCTTACATTTGCCTGGTATATTGTATATTTTTTAAATCTTTATTTAATTATGACATAATGTAAGAAACTGCACAGATTATGCATTTAGCTTGATGATTTTTTAACAGACTGAGTGAACATGCACAACCACCACCTAGATTTAGAAATAGAACATCACTAGCACCCAAGAAATACCCCCTTGTGTTCCTTTCCAATCACTAACCTCCTCCCAAGGGGTACCAACAGCCTGACTTCTAACAGCTTAGATTAGTTTTACATGTTTTTGAAATTTATATAAACATAATCATACAGTATTGATTCATTGCTCTTTTGGGTCTGGCTTCATTGGCCAATGTAATATTCATGAGATGAGATTCATGCCTGTTGTGCGTAGTAATTTGTTCATTCTTGTTACTGTATAGTACTTCCTTGTATGAATACAGGACAACTTGTTTATCCATTCTGAAGTTGATGGGCATCTGCATAATTTTCAGTTTTGAATAAAGCCACTCTGAACATCATCTTACTAGTTTTTCAGTCAATGTATGTTCACATTTCTCCTGAGTATATTCCTAGGAGTAGAAGAGTTGGGTCACAGGCTACTGCATGTGTTCAGCTTTCATAGATAACACCAAACAGTTTTACAAAGTGTCTGTACTATTGTATGCTCCTCAAAAACAATTTATGAGTTTCCATTGTTCATAGCCTCACCAACTCTCTTGGTTATTTTCCATCTTTTCCATTTTTAGCCATTTCTGGTGGGTAGGAAGGAGTATCTGATTGTAGTTTAATTTATATTTCCTTGCTGACTAATGAAGTTGAGCATCTTTTCCTATGCATATTTGCCACTTGGCATATCTTCTTTGGGAAGTGCCTGTTCCCTTCTCTCTTTTCCTATTGCTCCGATTGATTTCTAAGAATTCTTGATATATTTGAGATATGAGTTGTTTGTCAGATACCAGTATTACAGTTATCTTCTCCCACTGTGGGATTTGCCTTTTCACTCTTTTTTTTTTAAAGATTTTATTTATTTATCAGAGGGGGAGAGAGAGGGGGAAAGCACAAGCAGGGGGAGCAGCAGAGGGAGAAGCAAGCTCCCCGCTGAGCAGGGAGCCCGATGCGGGGCTCGATCCTGAGACTCCAGGATCATGACCTGAGCCGAAGGCAGACACTTCACCAACTGAGCCACCCAGGCGTCCCTTGCCTTTTCACCCTTAATTTTGTCTTCTGATGAGCCAAGGTCTTTAATTTTAGTGTGGTCCAATTTAATAACCTTTTATTCTACCAGATATCAAAACTTGATATGAAGCACATTAATTAAGACACTATAGTAGTGGTCCACAAATAGACAAATAGACCAATCAAAACCCAGAGTCCAGGAATGAACCTCCATATAGACGGGTGCAAAGCAACACTGCAAAGCAGTGGAGAAAGGATAGTCTTTTCAATAAGCCATGCTGGATCACCTTGATATCCATATGGAAGAAATGAAACTTTTTTTTTTAAAGATTTTATTTATTTATTTGAGACAGAGAGAATGAGATACAGAGAGCATGAGAGGGAAGAGGGTCAGAGGGAGAAGCAGACTCCCTGCCGAGCAGGGAGCCCGATGCGGGACTCGATCCAGGGACTCCAGGATCATGACCTGAGCCGAAGGCAGTCGCTCAACCAACTGAGCCACCCAGGCGCCCAGAAATGAAACTTTTTTTAAACAAAGATTTTATTTATTTATTTGACAGAGAGAGAGCATGCACAAGCAGGGGGAGGGGGAGGGGGAGAGGGAGAAGTAGACTCCCCACTGAGCAGGGAGCTCAACTTGGCCTGGGGCTTGATCCCAGGACCCCAGGATCATGACCTGAGCCAAAGGCAGATGCTTAACTGACTGAGTCACCCAGGCGCCCTGGAAGAAATGAATCTTGACCCTAACACATACCACACACGAAAATCCTTCCCAAGAAGGCTATAAATCTAAACATAAAAGATAGAACAATACAAATTTAGAAGAAAACATTAAACATCTTTATGACCCTGAGGTAGGCAAGGTTTTCCTAACTAAGACACAACGAGTGCCGACCATAACAGAAAGAATGATAAATAGCATGGCATGTTTCTGTCCAACGCTTCATTTCACATCTTTGTCTTTTTGTTTTAGATATGTGGCACCTGTGTATTGTTTTTGTGAACCAATCCCATCGTCTTTATCTTTTAGGGCAGGATTCAGCTCATTCAATTTAGTTGAATTATACTAAATTTTGTGCCTTCTATTATTTTATGTTTACTATTTATTTTACTTGGTTGATATTTCCACTCTTTCCCTTTTCCTATTTTTGCTCGTTTGGTCACATTTCTCATTCCCCTCTGGGTTCTTATTATCTTGGAATTCTGATAGTTTGGGATTTTGATTATATTTATCAATTTCTGCTAGTAGTTGCCTTCACCTTCCTTAGAAATATAATTGTCTATATTTTCTCTATTACTAGATCCAATAATGTTGTAATCGTATCTGGATCTAGGAATAGAGGTGCATAATTTGCCTTCTCCTCATTTCACTCAGTAGATTTTCCAGGGTATTTTAAATTTTCCACTTAGTAATAATCTTCTTTATTCCATATGCCTAGTTATGTTATTTTTCTTTATTCAGCTATAACTATATATTACAAGAATCATTTCTCAAGACCGCTTTCCTCTGATTTTTGAGGTTTCTGTTACTATGCAATTTATAATTGCTTAGACTATTCCCTTGAGTATTCTCCTGAGCTAGGAATGGTGGCATTTAATGTTATAAATGCTTTTATGGCTAAAATTGTCTTTTCCTCTGACAGAAGAATAGTATCAAGCTAGGATGGCTTTAAAATTCTCGGATATCAGCTCCTTTCTCTCAGTAATTTGTAGATATTTTCTTCTAATATGATTCCTATCGTTGCAAACAAAAAGTCTAGTGCCATTGTGAGCCCTTTCCATTTTAAATAACATGTTGTTTCTGCCTGGAAGTGTTGTAGGTTTCCTTTTTGTCCTCTAAATTCAATGCCACATCAGGTTTGGGGTTGATTTGGTTCCTCTGGGAGTCAAGGATTGGGGGGATTTCTGTGGGGAAGGATCAATGAGGTAGGGTCCAATAGGATTAGATCTAAAGCCTATAGCTATGATTCACACTGGGGCAGTGAGGTACAGTCTTGGGAAATTCTTGAGGTTTTATAAGAGTTGGAGATGTCAGTGTCTGAAGTCATTGACTAGCCCACGAGAGTTATTGATTGGAACACTGAGGTGGCAAATGATTGCTTGCAAGCCTGGGATTATAAGTTTTTGGGAGTCAATTTTGGTGGCCCTGTGCGAGTCATTGATTGAGACCTGTGGATATCGGTAAATGCAGGGCTGTGTGAGTTAGTATGTGATGGACTATTATTGAAGGTTTTATGGGAGTCACTAGTTCTATATGTGGGCTGTGAGTTATGGGCTCCTATAGGAGGTCAGGTTTGGCCCCCAAAGGGCATTGAGTGGATCAGTGGTTGGTTTTCTATTGAGGGTGTATTGAGGGTGTTGGTGATTATTTGGGGAGCCTGTGGAAGCCAGTTGATGGTACCATCTGGGACACGGTTTTGTCAAGCAGTGTGGGTTACTGATTTAGGAGCCTGTACAGACATGCTGGTTTTCAGTGCCCAGATGGGAGTTGGGGGAGGGAGGCAATGAGTTTATGTTTTCATCTATGGCAGAAGAAGGTGAGCTCTCTAAGTTGCCCAGAACATACACTGAATTATACAGAAGCTCAGTTTATGCACATGTGGCATGATCACCCCTAGCCAGAGCACTTTAAGGGCAGCAAGGAAATGGAAATAATGTTTTTTGTGACCTGCCATATACAGAATACCATATGGCATAGTAGTTAAGAAAATGTACCTTGGAGCCAGGCATACCTGGGTTTGAGTCCCTGTCCTTCCCCCTAATCTGAGTGATCTTGGGGCAAATTCCTTAATATCGCTGAACATCTCTATCTGATGATAAATGGGAATAATACTAATGGAATACCTAGTTCACAGGATGAGTTTGAAAATTAAATAAGGTACCTGCCTTGCACCTTGTAATAATAGCAATATTTAATATCAATGTTCCAGGTGCCAAGTAGGAATGAGTGCTTTGGAGGCACCATATATCATTTAATTCTAACAACCCTATGAGACAGGTGTTTTCTTTTCTTTTCTTTTCTTTCTTTCTTTTTTTTTGAGACAGGTGTTTTCATCCTCAGTTTTAAGATGAAGAAACTCAGACTAAAGTGACTTCCCCCAGACTCTAGCTAGAAAGTAGAAGATCTGGAATTCAAACCCTCATTCATTTTATACCAAGTCTTATGAGTATTTTTTTCACATTATACACTAACATTTGGTGTTGGTTTTACTGAACTTCTCTTTTTCACAGTATCCAGCACAGAGAGCTGCCCCCTTGGTGCCCCCAGGAAGCATTTTGTGGGGTGAATGGTGACTGACCACGTGCACACTGGCTCTCCAGGGTTTCTTGGAGTCTCTGTGGAGCCCCTGGGCCAGACCCCGAAGCGGAGGCTGCAGGACCTACCTCCCGGCCCCAGCAGCCCTGATTGAGTCCCCGGCTGCCCAGCTGGCTTCGAGCTCCTGGGAAGAGCAGAGTCATCAGCAAGAGAGCCCGGAGCTGAGGCCCAGCGGAAACATGCCAGCTAACGGGAGTTCTCCCCAGTGGTCCTCGGTCCTGGCTGCAGAGGGACGTGGCGGCTTGTGTGAGGTGAGGAGGGAAAGGACTCCAGGGGCAGGAATTCGCTCAGTGAGGAGATAGCCCTGACCTGTCACAGGGCCTCAGGGCAGGGGCAGGTGGGTCACAGAAGTGGCAGATTCCAGGCTCCCAGGTCACCATCCTCCTGCTATGTGAGTACCACGTGGCTGATGTCCCACATCCAGAGCCCTGTGTGTTTCAGTGGACGTGTGATGGAGGAAAGGTGGGATGGGAGGGTCACCCCACATCTGGGGTCCTAGCCAGGGAGACGCTACCCCCGACCCCCAGCATAGGCCCTGCACTCTCCATTGGCTCTTTGCAGATGCTCAGTGGATCACCCCCTGCCCCCAGCTTCCTTTTCCCCTTGTCTCTGGGGATTTGCTGCTTCCTCCTCTATCCTGATCTAGGGCAGAAAAATCCCTTTTCTCTGGAACTGAGAGCATGGCAGGGTAATAGGGCAACAACAGTCTCCAGGATCCTTCTAGTTCTTCCTCCTCCTTTCAAAGGTGATAAAATGGCCTGAGAAGGGACATGATTTGCCCAGGCCTCTTGGATTGTGAGTAATAGCATTGGACTGGAACCAGGTCTCCTGAATGTGTCCTCCACCCTCACCACACCACAGCCAAGACCAAGTTGCCCCCTAAAAGTTCCCTTTGAGCACCTGGGTGGCTCAGTCTATTGGGTGTCTGCCTTCAGCTCAAGTCATGATCTCCAGGTCCTTGGATAGAGCCCCGAGCCTGCTTCTCCCTCTCCCTCTGCCCCCCCCCCACTCGTGTTCTTTCTCTCTCTTTCTCAAATAAATAAATAAAATCCTTAAAAAATAAAAAGAAAAATAAATAAAAATTCCCCTTGAGAATCTGTAAATAGGGGAAGACGATGAGAGAGCCAGACCCTGCCTGACAGCTCCCTTCTTCAAACCTTCCTGTGAACGCTGTCACCTCTGGGGCAGGCTTCATTGTCACAGGGGCTCAGGGTCACATGGTCATTAGGATAATATTAACTTTAAAAAATTATTTTGATTTTTATTATTTCATAATTTCATTATTTCACAATAAAATGTTAGAGAATGCAGGTAAACAAACAGAAGAGAATAAAACAGTACCTGTAATTTCAGCATTACCCAAAGTTAACCATTGTTAACATTTAGGTATATTTCCTTTCAGTTGATTTTTTCTTTGTATGCACAAGTGTGCATGTATGTGGGTATATGTGTGGGGCTGTGGGTGTGCATACATACCATACACATATACATTCTATAGCTCAAGTTTAAAAATGGAATGACAGTATTTGGTTGCCTCCTTTTTAATTTGACAGCTTAACATGATTTTCTAGGCATTAAATATTTTTTCTTCATATACACATAACGCACAGCATTATGTCCTTTGGATAAACTTGAATTAATTTAACCAATCCACTGTATGTGCATTTAGGGTGTTTCAGGTTTTCTCTTGGGATTAACACTGCTGTGGTAAAATTCCTGCACTTAAGTTCTTTTTGCCCAAGTCACTGAAATTATGTTTGGGTCAAAGGTATAAAGGCACTGAATGGTAAACGAATTGCTGCCTAACCATAGTGCCCTTCCACCTATGGAAGTGTTTAGGCTCTGCTCCATCATATCAATCACAGACCCACAGTTTGAGGCCACAAAAACGTGGTCCTCCCCAGTCTTTCTGCAGGTGGCTTCTTGCCCAGCCAGTGTGTGGGAATTTCTAGATGAAAGATTCCGGGCTCTGAAGGGCACATTTCTCCACTCATCTCTTCCTTCCCAACCACAGACCTCTGACCCTTTGCAAGAAGAGATGAAAATGACCAAGACCCTGTTGAATGTTATTTATTCACTTATTTATTTTTCAGGTTTTTGGTTTTTTCATTAGATGTCAGGGAGCAGGGAATGGGCAGAGATACCGAAGAACCAAAAAAAAAAAGTGTCCCCAGTGGTAGGGAACAGCTGGCGGGACCAGGAAATAGTGGCTGAGGCTGAAAAATAGGCAGAATGGTCAGTAAGAGAAAGAGGGATGAGGAACAGCTGATGGAACCATGGTGCACTTACTGGAGATGGAGGATAGCCAAGGGGCCCAGGGGGCGGGATGAGAGTGCAATGGAACAGAGGAAATGGGAAACAGAAGCCCAGAAGCCAGGGGCAGCAGAGAGACCAAGAAGTAGTCATCAGGGACTGGAGAAGTGGAGAGAGGAAAAAGCCAGTGGGTCCAAGAACAATGAGAGGGATCCCAAAATAGGACAAGGGACCAGAAGGTAGAGGGACCGGATAGCAGCCAAAGGGAGCAGAGACCATCCAGAGGGATGAGAAAACAGAAGATTTGGCCAAAATGGAAAGAGCAGATAGGTTTGGTGTTCTGGGCAAAAGCCTGTGGGACAAGCAACTTCACAAGGCACCAGGGTTTAGGGGAGAGTCTGAGGGGATAGGGAAAGATAGAGGTACCAGGGAACAAAAAAAATAAGAAAGAATGGGAAGGGAGTGGATAGCAGCCAGAGAAAGCAGGGACCAGCTGCTGAGGCTATAAACAGGTGGAGGGGTGGGGAACGGACAGACCCATGGATAGGTGGAAAAACGGAGAAAGGCCTCCCAGGCTGAGGAGTAGCTGAGGACATCAGGACCCACACAGAACAAGGAATAGTCTCTGAGGTTGGGGAACAGCCAGAGGGAACAACAAAGCTGTACTGGGCACAGAGTGCCTACTGGAGGTCCCAGGGGCTAACCAGAGAACTAGGGAACCACAAAGTGGGCATTAAAAGTTTATCTGGTGGGGCGCCTGGGTGGCTCAGTCGTTACTGCCTTCGGCTCAGGTCATGGTCCCAGGGTCCTGGGATCGAGCCCCGCATTGGGCTCCCTGCTCCGCGGGTAGCCTGCTTCTCCCTCTCCTACTCCCCCTGCTTGTGTTCCCTCTCTCGCTGTGTCTCTCCCCGTCAAATAAATAAAAAATCTTTAAAAAATAAAAAAATAAATAAATAAATAAAAGTTTATCTGGTGTTGGAGAGCAGCCTGGCTGACCAGAGAACAGCTAGAGGGACTAGAGAACAGCTGGAAGGCATAGTATCCATTCCTGAAGCTAGTTAGCAGCCAGAGGGCCCCATGTAACAGGCACTGGGGTTAAGGGCCAGTTGCAGGGGTGCCTGGGTGGCTCAGTCGTTAAGCGTCTGCCTTCGGCTCAGGTCATGATCCCAGGGTCCTGGGATCCAGCCCGGCATCGGGCTCCCTGCTCAGCGGGAAGCCTGCTTCTCCCTCTCCCACTCGCCTTGCTTGTGTTCCTGCTCTTGCTAACTCTCTCTCTCTCTCTCTCTCTGTCAAATAAATAAATAAATAAAATCTTTTTTAAAAAGGGAGGGGCCAGTTGCAGAAGCCAGGGAGAGGCTGAGGAACAACCAGAGTTCCCTGGAACAGGGTGACAGGGGTTTCCTGGGATGTGGGACTTCAGTGCTAAAATAGGGAGTGTCCCAGCAAACGAGACAGTTGGTCACCCTACGCAGGAAACAACCAGAGGAACCAGCAGATAGTCAGACATGATGTAAGTGATAGAGAAGGGGAAAGTACAAAATCAAGCATCATGGTGGAGTGCCCAGAACTAGTAGACTTTGGTGGTCAAGAGCCGAGGCTAGGAGCTGGGTCGACCAGCTCTCCGCAAAGTGTGCTGCTCCCCACCCCCCTAGAAACCGGGCGTGTCAAGTGAGGGTGGACTAGAAATGCATTCCAGGTTTGCCCAAGGCACAGGGAAGAATTGGGACTGGACAGCAGTCAGGGGACTCAAAGGGCAGTCAGTCTGTGTCAACTAGAAAGAATAAGAAAAGCTCATCAGGACCAGGGAACAGCCAGATGGACTAGTGCACAATCAGAAGAATGGTGCCGCCGACTAAGGATCAGCTAGAGGGGAAACTGTCAAAGGAAACACAGGACAGTCAGAGGCACCAGGGCTCCGTCCAAGCAGTCAAAGGGAAGAAGGAACAGGAGGCTTGGAACAGTTAGAGGAAGCCAGGGACAATCCGGAAAGAGACCGGGGGCACTCAAAAGGAGCAAGCAACATTTAGAGGGAACAGTAAACAGAGGGACCAGGGAAGAGTCCGATGGGGACTACGCAGAGGGAATAAGGACCAGCAGAGGGAGCAGCAGAGAGAAGTATGAGCCGGGAGTGGGCAGGGGAAGCAGGGAAAAGCCAGAGGGAGCTGCGGAGGGGTACAGAACAGAGAACAGTGAGAGGGAACCGGGAACAGCCAGAGGGAGCAGGAAAGACCAGAGCAGCCCCAGCCAAGGGCAAGCATACAGAAAGGCTGGGTATTTGGCCTCTGGTGAGGGCACAGGGAGCCAAGAACTCGCTGCACACTTGCAGACAGCCTCGTAAGCACCACTGAAGCCCTTCTGCTAGTCTGGGACAGGGTGTAGAAGGGCAAGGTCGTATCACAGTGAGGCAAGCACAGAAGTGGGGGGACTGAGCCCAGAGCCAGCTGCAGGATGGGCCAGAGCAGAGGGCCAGTGAGTGGTCAATCCTGGCAGCCCAGCACGGTCCCGGGGATGAGAGCACGTAGTGTGCTGGCTCAGATGATCCTGAAGGGAGGGAGACAGGAGAGCCATGTGGGTCGCTGGAGAACCATGAGGAGTTCAGAGGAAAGTGCTATAAAGGACCTCGTTAAGCGTCTGCCTTCGGCTCAGGTCCTGGGATCGAGATGGGGATCTCACCTAGGATGAGGAAGTCCTTGTAGGGGTCCTGGTGGTGGTAGGCACACATGCCATCCTCCGTGGTAGAAAAGGGATAGGAAATCAAACCTTTTCCTATGTGGCAGGTGAGGCTGGAATCTGGGTGAGTCTATGTTAGCAACTTTTTACCCAGATTTCTAGCACCAAAATCCTCCTCCCAAAGCTTCTATTTTTGCGGGGAATGGGATCAAAGAGGGGCATCTGTGGGCAGTGTACTTTGTATATATTCATCTTGTGTGTCTGTTCATGCTGAGAATGCCTGTCATGGGCTTTGTACACTTTCCCTGAAAATGGGGCCTTAGTGACT